TTATGCAAATCTGTCATAAATTGGGATACATCATTTTTGAATATGGATGCATAATCATTTTTCTTGTAGCATAAGCCGAAATTTGTTGCTAGGCAACTGCATCTTGCTATGTTACGAAAACTGAATATAAAGATTTTGTTTAAATGTTCCAGCTGTTCAACTGTAACTTTGTCTGAGAACAAACAGCTTGGTTATGAATAAAATATTTTCGAGAAGAAAATAAGTTTTTATACTAACCGAAAATTGCATAAGAACGTAAGCTACAAAGAGTTAAATTATTAAACTACTTTTATTTTAGTTTAATTTTTCAGAATGACATACAAGCAAAATCAATGATCAGTTCAAAAAAGTCCATAAACACAATATTTAGTTCTGCAGTTAAAACAATGACAATAAATAAAAAAAAAAACAGTTTTTTTTTTTTTTTTTTTTTTTTTTTTTATTTGCAGAAAGAACCGATCTCTTAGTCATTCGTAAACTACACTATTCATGTCATACGATCCTTTGATCGTAGGCGGAGTTTAACCGCTTATATTTCCGTGGATGCTGTAGGAATGACGAAGGATTCGGACACCAAATAGTAAGCTAATTAAATCAGCGCATGCGTTCGCACGTGCTAATGATTAGACAAGCCCTTATTTGTACGCCCCTCAAACAAACACGGACCTGACTTACAGTCAAAGTAAATAACGTTCGCTGTGTTCGGTTACGCCCATGTTTCATTTTGCATGACAGGTTGTTCGAAACTTTTAGAATCTTCTTGTTTTTATTTATGAGGTGTATAGCCCTACTTTTGATAAAATTTGCTTTTTATGCATTTTTCGCTACAGCTGTTCGCTAATGGAGCCTTTGCGGTTTCGTAATTTTCTTCTGGACAAATTTCGGTATTCTCGCAACAGGTGATCTACCGCCCGAATAGGAACCATGAACAAAACCAAATAAAATGATTTTTATACTAAACCATACGAAAAGCAGCAGTGCATTTTATATACTTACATCTATTGCATTACCAGATTATACTAAATTATACAACTTTACCAGAAGAATGTTGTGATATGGTCCTAAAGAGGACATAGTAATGAATTTTTGGCGTATAATCTCAAAGTTTATCATGCGCCAAACATATGGTCAGATGAAAAAAACCTATGATATTCCTCGACGATCGTCACTGTTTTTTAAACATAGTAAAAAACCAATTTAAGCGATCCTGTTTGGCATCTGTGAACTGAAGCAATTCTATTTCACATTTGTTAACAGTCAGCATTTTAGTACTGTCATCAGCAAAAAGGCCTGTCTCCCAACATGGTCAGAAATTTTTCCACTTTGTTGACAGATCGCCACCACAATTCAGCAAGGAGGCGGAGGAGCATCTTGGATGTCGTTTCTCTCATATTACGGACAATTATTTACGATGACTCTGTAAACATCCTATCGCCCGAGTGTTGCCACCGTAGTAGGATTAACAAAATTCGTCTGATAATTTAGCGTCAGGTGGGTATATCATGCAATTCATATTCAGTAACAAGGTAGGTCATATGTTATATATACGGTCCGGTAGGTCACATGTTATAAGAATACTCAGATTTATTTCTTTCTTAACGTAGCATTGAATGAACTACTTAGCGACGAAGGTATTTTCTTGAAAAATTTCCTGAGCCTTCAACCTGTTGGATTTGTCAGCTTATCAGTGAGTATTAGTGTTCGATACGCTCGAACATCAGAAGGATGTCTTAATTTCCTTAAAAGTTTACAAAATCAGGATACGCAGAGAATTATGTCTTCTGTTGTCGACAATAGAGGAAGGTAAACAGGCTGAACTGAACCACGTGAAAGCATCTAGGATACCGTTCAATAGTCCTTATATAGACAGAAGCTACGAAGTTTCGAGAAAGAATCTACGGGTTCGTAGATTTGGAGTAATTGATGATAACACTTGATGAAGAATCAAAACACAGTTTATTCTTCAGTATTACACAGGACAGTTCAAAAGACGCGTTTGCAGTCGTCGAAAAACTACGATAAACACGCTGAAAGAATCAGCAACACAGCTTTCAGTCTATAACGGTGAAGACAGCCTCACGGCAAAGCACTAAAGTACAGCTCCCGGCTCGGTCAATCGCCCTCGAGTTAATCTCTGAACTCAAGCCACCGCTACTACTCCGTGCACAGGCAGGGTATATGTAGCTTTAACCAACCTTCGAGAATATTACAGAGAAAACCGCTAAGAATGCGTTCTAGAATGTTCTCGGTCCGTCTATAGCATATTGCCAATTTTGTCGCCATTATGTGTTATAAATTAAAAACCATTTACTGTTCTTTTCTATAACTAATTAAGCCAAGAAAACTAATTAAAAGGTTTTCGAAGAAAGTATCCTTCCAGCCAAGCAAAAAGGCCTAGAATCTTTTCATAATTAAATAACGAAACAGCTTATCAGTTTATCTATCAAGTAGAATTATATATATATATATATACATATAATGGCGACAAACAAACAATATATATTTGTTGTTCGAAATTCCTAACAAAGCACTCGGTTAAACTTTATGAAATATTTTTGTTCACGTATCATATCATCAGATATGTATGTAATGAATAACAGGCGCCTTCTTAAAATTGGCGCAGTTTTAGCAAAATTGTGTAAATAACGAATTTATGCTCATTCATATCAGCTTGGATAATCTTCAGTTTTATTTGCATTTGTTATCTCTCGTTCAAGAGTAACTGACAATGTCGCTGTTAAGGTTGACATCAGAGTTTACACTTTCTCACATTTAAGATACCCAACTTCAAATTAAGCGATACAGAATTTCAGAGTTAAGCTCAACAGAAAGTTCGATTTCCGTACTATACATGTCACTGACTTGCAAAATTTCGAAAGAAAAATTCGAATTTGCTAAAACATAGTAATTAAAAAGTCGGGAAAAGAATATAAGGATATTTTTCGTAGTACAATCGCATTTTAAGCTTCAAATCGAACTAATCAATGTGCTACTTTTTGCACATAGTGAAATTTAAAGTATGCATCTTACCAAATTTAGAATTTGTTTTATTGTCTTTTTCATATTTTGTAAAACTTTAACGAATTTTCGATTCACAAGCTCAAAGATTTCAAAGCCAGCAGTGGCAACACTATACGAAAAAAAGCATTTTTTTATCTCCTATCGGAAATATTAAAGATATGCTGTTTTTAAATATTTTTAGCCCAAAGGGGCAGTAGCCCAAATGCTCTCGAAACGTGCATGTATGTGTAAATGAAAAAACTCCTCTTTGGGTGTAATATAAAATCTGAAAGCTTTTAGTCCCCTCCCCCAACGCTGAAGACGTAGCAACGTACTTGTTCGCGAGTAATATAGTATTTTCCCCTCTACCTTTTTAGCGCCAAGTTTTGAAAACATTAAAAATATTCGAGTAACTTTCCGCTTCCTTGAATCCGTTCAAAAAACGAACTTTCCTAAATTTTTAAATTGATTCGTTTACGTAGTATTTTTTTTTTCTTTTTTCTTTTTATTAACAAACCCTCCCAAACTATCTGCATAGGTCATAGTGAAGCTTTCCCCTGTAAGTATTAAACTTGAGGTGGTACTTACTGATTAACGCAACCCCCTTGGCGCGCAATTAAGGTGAAAATTACTTATTGGGTGCAAGTTGATGGTTTTCGCGAATTTTCCAAACTCTTCAAGCGTTCTATTATCGGCATATGAAGAGAAAACGTTTTAAATAAAAATTTTTATTATGAAATTAATATTACGTGACACATTAAAAATCAAAAAATGTTTTTTACTAAATCTTTCTGTAATTATTATGCACTATTCTTTCCAAGTGCATAAGCTATCTGTTTTCGTCTAGAACACGTCAGAGACTCGGCATCGCGCAAACCATGGCAACAGCGGTTATCTACGAAACGCATCTCCTCCTTGTTCCTTTTAGAAATTTTTCAGCAAAATTATGTATTTCTGCAGAAATTTTATTGCATTTTCCTCCATAGCTGACAATTTCCACAAGCGCATACTTGAGTTTAATAGAGATATCACAATTTGTTCCTAAAACCTGTTGAAACTTAAAGTATAACAAAATAAACGCATAAGAAAACGGGGACATTACTCGACTAAAGGATGATTATTCTGAGCATAATAGCGTGTAGAATGGTTATGCGCATGGTTGCCAGAGTTGGCATATTTTAAAAACTTGGCGATTTCTACTAAGGTGGCCGCGGTAATACGTAAGTACCCGCTTTGCGAGCCAAATACAAAAACCGACCTATCACAACGAAGCAGACACGAACTGACATTCGCTTTGCGAGCCAAATACAAAAGCGACCTATCACAACGAAGCAGACACGAACTGACATTCAGTCTATGATTTCGCCGAGTCAGCTGCACATTCGCCTTCTGTAAATTACTTATGAATGGTTTGAAGCTTAAGAATAGCAGAAACAACGGGGGAAATTCGTTACAGGGAAGAAGAATTTAAGTATCGTGTTAGATATTATAATGTTAACATAACTAATGCATTCTGACTAGGGTGTAGGTTTCTTTTAACGAAATAATATTGGAGTACTTAACTGTAGTTTATTCGTGATTACTTTTCATTCGTTATCTTCTTACCATAACCGCTTCCCTTGGAAAGTAAGTTATTTACATAATGTTCCGCTCTTGATTTTCGGTCGATCAAATTAGTCAAAAAGAGAGGAAAAGTAGCGAAAGAAATAAGGTAATTATTTCCCTCGGGTGGCAATACTTTCTATTTTGGGAGCAAGCGAAACCTGCTAGCTGGAAACAGTAAACATTTCAAGGTGATTTATTCGAAGCCTAGGCACAGCACTGCTCTTGCTGCGTTTTCCTAGCGAGTGAGTGCACTAAATGCAATATAAGGATGGCCCCCTTTCGCCTCCCTCAAGCCTGTCATCTTTCACTCACCGCGGGCAGAAAGAACTCCCGCTTCAATGAGTGACCCTGCGAGAGAGAAAAGAATGGGCCTGTTGCGTCATGATCGTTCGCTTGTCTCTCTCCCTCCCACACTCGGCTCGCGCACAGATCGGGGCGTCGACGTTTGGTGATCGCTTTCACTTGATCGGCCACTATTTTGTGTTTAGGTACTAATGGTATTTTCACCTTGTGGACAGATAGAATTTTCTCTTCCCTCTGGTGGAACGTAATGACTTCGACGGCGCTACAAACGGTGAGTTGGAAATTTTTTCTTGCATACCGTTTCCCATATGGTGTTGGTGGATCGCATTCGAGCCATCTCAATTCGTTCATGACATGTTCTTGTGCTTTGTCGTTCGTGAGCTAAGAACTGCAGATCGTCATCTGAAAAATCAGTCGTCCATTTCCGATTTTCTGGAAATTATCTCCGTATGAATTTAACCATTCATTCTGTTGTCATCCTCGTTGAATCAATCTGTCGACTTGGAGCTCTTCGTAAGAACAGAATTTGTTTATATGCCGTAATTTACCGTCTTACGGTAAGAAATTTTTATTTGCTTACTGTTTGTTCCTTTTATTATTCCATTTAAAAGGCAATTAGTTTTAGGGGTTCTCAGATGGAAGGGAGATTCTTCCCTTTGAGGGGAATTTAATTAATAGTTTCACGGGGGCTGGGGTCAGCCGTTTATTTAGCTGTTAAATATTTAGTTTTAGTTTATGAATATAAAAAAACTTTTATTCAAGATTTGATATTCGTGAACATTTTCTATACTTGATTAATTTATAAAACACTTTGAAAAGTAATCTTAATCTAAATAAATATGCATATGTAGTTTTCGAGTTTTAGAAAGAAGGAGCTGGGATGGTCATCTAACAGTGGTGAAAGTAATCTTAAAGGGTGCATGGAGCAAAAAAGATTGAGAACCACTGGGAATAGTTTATCTTGAAGTTTTTCTTCAAGGGGCTTAAATATTTTGATTGATTAACATGTCTCGGTTAACATGTGTGTAGGATTTAAAATGAGAATGGCGTTGTATAGGATTTCTTACGTTGCGAAGATAAAAAAAATTAACAAGGGGAGGGGATCGCAAAAAGCGAAAAATGTTTACGTTAAATTTACCGATAATATTAATTCTGGTTATTATTGGTTCAGCCGCTGACCCCCCCCCGTTAAGTTAAAACTGTATGACCGTACTGAATTTTGTCGCTTTTTTAATGCAAGGCCTGCCATGAGTACTGTCCTACCGCCCTTGCCAACATGACCGTCGCTCTTAGCAGCCCGTTAATTATCCAGAAATTACTTCTTTATGAAAAATTGCCATTGCTTACCGAATTACCATAATTCTATAAATATGCTTAATACGCCTAAAGGAAAGTTTTGACTTTGTTTCTTGAAAGAACTGACGAAAATTCAGTGATGACGATATTTTTATCATCCTCAATTTAATTTAGCAGCGTGTTTTTGAATACTTTTAAGTATTTTTTTATCGTGTTGCCAAATACAGCATTAGTTTTTCAATTCTAGTTAAAGGACTTGCGGATATTTTCTTAGATTACCGCAAAATGCGCTATTTTATTTTTGAATACTTTTAATTTATTTAACGCTATTTTATTTTTGAATACTTTTAAGCATATTTTATTATGTTGCAAAATACAATTTTTTTCAATTTCATTTAAATGAATTGCGGATATATTCTTAGATTACGGAAAAATACGCAGGGCTCTTGCTTAAAGGTAGGATTGCATTCGCGGAGAACTTTCTAAGGAAATGTCCCGGCTCGTGTTCATGTTACACATGAGGAAAACCGCAGATTCCCATTCAATATGCCGGTTCACCGAGATTTGAATCTGAAAGGAATTGCTTTTATTTTCTCGATATATAATTTTTCCAGTAATTACCCGAATTGTTAATAGCAGTGTTACATAAATAGTAAAACAAAACAAAGATTAAAGTCAAAATATAAAACAAAAACAAAATATGATACGTTACGGACGTCAAAACTTTCATAAAACTGCTGCGATGTGTAGTAAGTTGGATTTAAGTTTGGTTATTTAAGCTGAGAGCAAGTATTTAATAATGCGAGCTTATTTCAGCCAGGGCCAGTCTGACGTACTATAAACACATGGCATAGCTGCCAACTGTGTTTTTCATCACATCTTCCGGCGGATCATCCAATCTCTCTGTTTCAAACTTGTTTAGTCTTTAATAATGAAAGAGTTTTTAACAATAAATGAAATTTATTGAATTAATTAATTAAGTTGTGCAAATTTCATACCCTAGTAATTTTTTTATTATCTTTTAATTGGATCTGAATTGTCTTTAATCAAAAGTAGACAATAGCAGAACTTTATATGGAGATTCAACAGATATTTAATCAGGAAAAAATTTGTATTTAATTTTGTTTTACATCAGTCTGTGGTACATTACTATGGTTATTTATTCACATAAAACTGTGTATACTAATTATTAATTTATTTTCAACGAGCTTAAGTACTTTGATAAATTCAAACTTTCCCGACTCGGGATTTATCAATTTAACAGTGTAAGAAAACTACAAAATGAAATTAGAAAATAGAATTTGAGTATATAATTAAATATTAATTTATTTAACATCGGTTGAATAATGCGAACCGAGCATTATAAAGCAAATTTAAGTCAATTTGACGTTCCTATGTAATGTTCAAGCCCCCCTTTTTTTGTTTTGTTTTGTTTGTTTGTTAAAGTTTGTCGTTGTTTATCGAAATTGCAATTTAAATTTAAGCGACAGCAGCTCCTAAATTTTTGGTTACAGATTCATGCAGATGACTAAAAAATGTCTCGCACAGCTCTAGAAATTTTCATGCCATTCGGAGCAACGTATTTTAGGGAAAATTCTTTCTCAACTTTTGTGGCAACATAAACAAAATATAGAAAAAAATGCAGAATAGGAAATGCGACTGCAAATATCAAGAATTACGGAATTCGATTGCTTCTACAAAAGAAATATGCAAGCACACCGCAAGTCACTAAATATAATGCGGGTGTGGATGTCGTCAGGAGTACTAGTTAATACTATTAATGAGTAAATTATCGTACATTAATTTTATGTTAATTTTTTAATAAAAATACTTTTCTTTAATTGCCTTTACATAAATTATCTATAACATACTGATATACTTTAATATTATTTTAAGATATACAACCTTTCTAAGGATGGGTTTGGGTTCCTCGGAACAACCGTACAGATCTAAAGGTTCCGTGAGTTCGTAGTTTGAAGACCACTGCTATAACGTATCCTATCACCTACTTGCGAGTACGACAAACTAAATGTAAAGTAAATAACGGAAGTAAAAGGCCAGCAGTGGGTTTTCTTTTCTTTCTTCTTCTTCTTCTTCTTCTTTTTTTTTTTTTTTTTTTTTTTTAAAGGAAGCTTTTGCCTCAGATTAAACAAGAAGCACACTACTATAAACTTAATCACAGAGAAATGAGAAAAAATAATGATTTAAAGGGGAAAAAAGAGAAAGAAAATTTGCAGTATGATTTCTAGATAATATCTTAAAATTTTAAATCTAGCATAAACTTGCGTTTGTGTAACGCGTAAATAAATAAGTAATAATAATAAAAAAACTCGTACCTACATATATGCAACAAATTTTAAAAGTAAAGCAGGAAAAAAAAAATAAATATTGAAATCAAATATGGTACATGATTCCGCAACTTTCTATTTCGACAGGACGTGATTTTTTTTTTTTTTTTTTCACATATTGAAATCGTTAACACCCTGTTTCAGAGGCTGGTGATAATAATGCGAGTCAAATGAAGTTGACTGATCCCCACTTTCTTAGTCAAAGGTAGAAGGAAAGAACAATCAGCAAAATCGGAGGGAGTGGTTTTTCGCATATTGAGATTTTGATTTTGGTTACCTTTTTTTCATATTATCTTTCTTTTACTTTTGTTTTTCAAACTAATTTTTCCCCCTAAATAATTTAAATAAAATTTTTTGCTTTTCAAACTAATTTTTTTTTCAATCAGTTTTTATAAATATTAAAGCTCACTTTAACACATGCAACGCGAGAGATTCTGAGAGAGAAGGAATACCTTCCTCGACATTCTAAAGTAATGGTATTCAAACTGCATTTTGTGAGTCAAAATAAAATTTCGAAAGGAAAATTATAAAGTACTCAAATTAGTTGACTAGTGTTTATTAACTAAAAAATATGTGCTTAACATATGTTAAAGATAAAGATGTGCAATGCTTGCAAGACTAAACAATTTTCTAGTATGAAATGTCTTGAATTAGACGATAGTGTTAAAAATTATATCATGAAGCAGTGTTTTCAACTGAAGAAAACTTAGCCCAAAAGGGCGTTTTTTTTAAACGTTTTGTGTGTTACCTTTAGTTATTATTAAGTATCATGTTCTTCTCACTTAAACCATATAATTTAATCCAACAGCAATATCACAAAATATTTAAAAACTGCAAACAGCATATCTTTAGAATTTCTGATACACAGTGCGTGAGATAAAAATGTTTTTTCCGTGGAGTGTTTGCCATTGCTCGCTTTGAAATCGTTAAGTTTTTGTTAATCAAAAATTCGTTACTTTTTGAAAAATTTGAAATAGGTAATGGAACAAATTCGAAATTTGGGCTTCCAAGTGCCCATGTTTGTTTGGAGGACAATGTTATTCAAAATTTGATGTCTAACGCTCCTTTGGGCTATTAAAAAACTTCCCTAGAGGAAAATACTAAGTATGACTGGATAAAATTAAACTTCGAACTACTACAATAAATCAGAAGGCTTGCCAATGAGAACAGGGAAAAAAAATTCGACTTTTAAATCTAAATTTAAGCAAGAGCAGCTTCTAAAGTTTCAATTGCAGATTTATGCGCAATACGTAGTTTTTCACACAGTTATAAACGTTTTAAATGTTCTTCGGAACAACTATTTAAATGATCAACGGATGGTGGCTACAAAAAAAAAAACACAAAGAGAAATTAAATACAGAACATGATATACGACTGCAGTTAACATCAATAGACATGGATATGGGCAGTTTCTGTAAAAGATTGCAAGCACACTTCTGTTACTAAATACAATGCAAGGATAGGTCATACTCGAAGCACGAGTTAATGCTATTGATGAAAAAATTACATTAATTTTACGTTAAAATTTGTTAATAAATGATAGTGTTACGAATTTTGTATTTAGATAGGTCAGTTTAATAGAATTATAATTAAAAATTGTTGTGTTTTTCTATGTAATGTAGCGCGA